GTACAGTCTTTTCTGTATTTACAGAAATTAGGAATACTATTCTAAACAGGAAAAACCCATTTTCTATTCAGCACATCAGAGCCCATTCTCTGCTACCAGGACCCATGGTGGCAAAGAACAACTTGGCAGACCGCGCCACTCGGGCCCTCTGGGTAGCAGACCCGCTTGTTGCTGCTACTGAGTTTCACAAGTTGTATCACGTGCCAGCCGAAACTCTGCGCCTCAAGTTCAACATCTCTCGCGCTGAGTCTCGTGACATAGTTCTGCAGTGCGCACCTTGCGCTCCCTTTCGTTCTGTTACTCACACTGGGGTTAACCCCCGAGGGTTGCGCCCACTGCAACTTTGGCAGATGGATGTCACCCACATTCCTTCATTTGGCAAATTACAGTATGTGCACGTTTCTATTGATACCTGCTCAGGTGTCCTTCATGCTACTCCTCTGCCTGGGGAAAAGGCCAGTCAGGTAATTACCCACTGCCTAGAGGCTTGGGCAGCCTGGGGTAAACCCCAGATTGTCAAAACTGATAATGGCCCAGCCTATGCTTCCAAAGCTTTTCAACAATTTTGCACTCGCTTGGGTGTGGAGCACCGCACCGGTCTTCCCTACAACCCTCAAGCGCAAGGCATTGTGGAACGTGCCCATGGCACACTCAAAATGTATCTGCAAAAACAAAAAGGGGGAGATGCCTTACCGGCAATAGCACCAAAAGGACGCCTTTCCCTTGCTCTCTTTACTTTGAATTTTTGAACCTAGACGCCAGAGGGCGCTCCGCCGCTGACAGGCATGTTGCACCTGGACAGCCTAAGAAGGAGCTGGTAAAGTGGAAGGATGTGTTGTCTAACCAGTGGAAAGGCCCGGATCCGGTAGTGGCCAGATCCAGGGATCTGTTTGTGTTTCCCACAGGACCAAGAGAACCCTGTTTGGGTACCAGCCCGGCTGACCAGACTAGTCCGCCCAGATCCCAGCGACGATGAGCCTGTTTGGCTGAGCCTGCTGATGGCTGATGATGACGGGGCCGAGGCGGCGAGCCCAGGGGGGCGTGATGGACGTCTTCCCGATGCCGATGCCCGATCCGCCATGACTCCACCTCTTCCTCGCTTTCCTCACCACCAACATCTCACTGGACCTCCCGCTTATGTTCCTTTCGACCCGACCAGGCAAACTTTTCCCATAGCCGCAACATTACTTATCCAGGGTCACTTTGCTTTACCATTGTTTTTAATGACTCCTCGCCCCTAACTCGGCCTCCGCTTGGTATAGACAGGCGGTACTGGATTGGATAAAACCGTTCCATCAAATCTTCTGAATGCACCGCTTATGTTTGACGTTTGGCCACCCTAGTATCTGTTATTTGCTACTAATCTGTCCACTGATGCGACGGTGTTATCCTGTTCAATGACACTTGCTTGTATTCCTCTTGCCTGGAATGCTACACGACACTCCTTGCATTTGTGGCGCGCTTACCTCGGTTCATCCCTGTTCCAGTTGAAGCGCCCCCCTCATCGATTGACGCCTTGTTCAGATAACCGCCGTGACTCTGGTCATAACAGCGGCCTAGTGACTTGCCATAGCAATCGCTGTTGGCTAGCGCTTACAGCCGCCGCTTGCCACTACGTCTTACAGTTCAGACTGCCCAGGCTCCGTGAACGACCTGGTCGTGGGAGTGGCCACCGCTTTGGCGACCCCAAAGTGAATGTCAACTTCGCCAGCTTACAAGGAGGAATTACTGATCATTAAATCAAAGAGTGAACTTAGTCAGAACAAGGGCTGGGCCGGTCGTTCTGCAGCTTCGTGCACGCTTGGGATGCGAGCAGCGGTGGGGGCGCCGGGGTTTATCGAGTTACTCCATCCCCTATCACTAATTATGTCCCATGAGCAAACTTGTCTCGGCCGAACTTGTCCATACCGCTAATGTCTAATTGGTCTCATGGATTTGAGGGACTGTTACTTGAGTTACAGCAGTCCATTATTCATATTAATTCTACACGGGTTGATCTTGCTGTTGCTGAAGGTTTAACTAGCTGGATTTCACAGGCTGCCAATCATCTTAAGGAATGGGCTGGTATGGGCGCCTGGCAGGTCTCCTTGCGCTTATTGCCATATTAGGGCTCATGTGTCATTGTCAGAAATGGCGCGTCAGAACCAACGTAATCAGATATTGATGATTCAGGCTTTTGCTGCGTTAGAGCTTGGGCAAAACCCACAGGTTTGGCTGAACATGTTGAACTAAGGCGCTGTTATCGCCCCAGCAGCCCCCCGAGTTGGCTGTAAGGTTACTCCATGACGGGAATGCATGGGGCCCCATCATTGAGCGTCGTAGATTTGAGCCATGATGGGGAAGCAACCCATGTAGCCTAAGACAGAGGCCTTACCCATTTTGTGGTTGCCTGGCAGTCAGCCTTTGCACGCCTCCGAGTTCTGCTCATTGCAGCGAGGCAACGGTGACAGCTGTTGGCTATGGAGGCTCTGCAGCCTTGATCGCTCTGTCGAAGGACGGGCTGAGCGGGCGGGGCTGCTCAGTGCGCTTTCATTTATTAATAAAGAACAGGGGGAGCTGTTGGGGGCGCGGGTGACGACGCCATGATAAAACTTGGCGGCTGATATCCGGTGCCTCGCCTTGCTTCTCCCTCTGCGTAAACAAGCTCTTGCGCCTGTGTGTTCGAAGTAACCAATGATATGAGTTTCCTGCTTGCAGTGGTATGATAAGAAACTGCCCTTCCCCTTTTCTGGGTCTTCCGCAAAATGTAGCCTAAGAAATCCCCCAATAAAGCACGGTCAGAAGGACTCCTGTTGCCGCGTCTTCCTTGCTGGCGAGGTGGGCGCGACAGCTCTTAACTGTATTTTTAAAATGTATGTGTTTAGTTATATCAGAACAATACTTATCACCCAAAAGACATTTGATAGTTATTTGTGAAGTGGGCAAGTGAATAAAATGAATAAAAACAGTTTGACAATTCTGTTGAAGAAACACAGAAATAAATAGGAACAGGTCTATTTTATTACAAACACCTCAAAGACCAAAACTATGTCTACACCATCTTTGTCTCCTGCAGCTTGCAATACTTAAATTATGGGAATTATTTGATAAATATATACTAAATTAAAGGTGCCTTCATATACTTCAGATTGCACAAGCATGTAGGTGTCCCATCTAGGTAGCACAGTAGCATTTTTGTTATTGTGAAATACTTTTCTACTGTTATTATAATTGGTCGAGCCCAGGGTTGGGATACTGGAATATTTCTAATGAAAATATTTTGCCTAATGGACACAAAGTCACTATTATTATGACAATTATCCAGCAGATAGGAGAACACATCTTGTTCTAGGGAAGTAAATATATTTCATTTGGTTTCAACCTATGGGGAATGAATTCAATAACACTGGGACCTTGTTAGTATAAGGATTTGTAACATAATCTGTGATTCTCAACAAAAAATTGCTTTTCTGACTCCTGTACTCAATAGGTATCTTTATAAAATAATCTACTGGCTGGGTACGGTGGCCCATGATCCTTGTAGTCCTAGCACTATAGGAGGCTGAGGCAGGAGGATCCTTGAGAGCAAGAGTTCTAGACCAGCCTGAGCAAGAGTCAGACCCTGTCTCTATTAAAAATAGAAAAAACTAGCTGGCCAACTAAAAATAGAATGAAAAAATTAGTTGGGCATGGTATCAAGCACCTCTAGTCCCAGCTATGTGGGAGGCTGAGGCAGGAAGATTTCTTGAGCCCAGGAGTTTGTGGTTGCTGTGAGCTAGGCTAACACCCTGGCACTCTAGCCTGGGCAACAGAGACTCTGTGTCAAAAAAAAAAAAAAAAGAAAAGAAAAGAAACAATCGCTACAAAAATATTGAAAAATAAGCCAGGCTTGGTTGCATGCACCTGTAGTTCCAGCTACTTCAGAAGGCTTAGGCAGGAGGATCATTTGAGCCCCGGAGTCTGAGGTTACAGTAAGCTATGATGAGCCTACTGCACTCTAGCCTGGGCAACAGAGTGAGTGAGACCTTGTCTTCAAAAATAAATAAATCAAATAATATTGTCCTATTACTATTGGTGCACACTGGCCACAATTTGCAGTTAATATTGTCATTTATTTATGCTATCAGAAAGGTATTTTTGAGTTCTCAGTTTTAAAAATAGTTACTTTTCTGTGACACAAATCACTATGTAATACAAATACATAGTGATCCTTTGACAACAGATGTTTGAACTGAAGGGGTCCACTTATATGCAGATTTTCTTCTGCTCTGTCACCCAGAGACAGCTGGACCAACCTCTCCTATTCCTCCTCCTTATCATCCTAGTCAATCTGAAGATAAGGAGGATAAAGATCTTTATGATGAACCACTTCCAGTTCATGAATAGTAAATGTATTTTTTCTTCCTTATGATTTTCTTCATAACAGTTGCTTTTCACTAGCTTACTTAATTGTAAGAATATAATATATAATAGATATGACATACAATCTTTGTGTTAATTGACTATATTATCACAAGGCTTCCGGTCAACAGTAGGCTATAAGTAAAGTTTTGGAAAGTAAAACGTTATATACAGATTTTCGAATGAAAGGGGGATTGATGTCCTTAACCCTTGCATGGTTCAAGGTCAACTGTAACTGCTATTCACTAAATGCAAACCATTTATTATAAAAATTAAATAGAACATGCATTCTTATACTAAGTGCAATTCATTATAATGTGACTGGAAACATGGAACATATTAACTTAAAAACATTCTTTCTTATTTAGCCAAAAATATCAAACAGTATTTTAGGGACTGTAATTAAATAAATGATTTCTTTCAGATAATACTGTTTGAGATGATAAATGACATATAAAATAATTATGCATTCTAGACTACTAAAAAAAATCAAGAAAAAATATGCATGCGATTTACATATTGGCTTTTTAAACTCCTCTTTTATACTCAAAACTCTATTATTCTTACTTATGTATCTACTGTCTGCCCACCAAAGAGGTATTCACTGTCAGAAGGCTTACCTGGATTGCTAATTTGAGAAGGATTTTCCAGAATCTTTTCTTCTTTATGTTCTGATATTTTTGGCGGAATGCTTTGTATAAAAATGTAATAAATAAAATTACTATATTAATACTGACATGAAAATCATTTACCAAATAAATTAAATTCTTAAGAGTATTTCAGACAATATCAGCACTATCATACTAACAGAACTTTAATTATGTCATATAGCTAAAATTTGTAAGCTCAACAAACTTATTAAGCTTCTAGTTAAAGAAGAAAAGTAAGGTGAAATCCTCATGAAGGGAGGGCAGTATAGATCAGTCAGTTAACTAGGGGTCCCTTGACATGATGCAAAGTGCCCTGAACTCAGAAGAAGTCCTAGCTCTGTAAGCAACAGCTACTTGTTCTTGGACAAGCTGCTTCTTTCAGGCTCATTATCTTCTAAAATTAAGGATTTTACTGTCTTAATTTACTAGGTTCTTAAATAACATTTAATGAGATAACATTTTTACAATGTTCAGAAAGATAGGGAATCAATGGAATAATTTGTCCTTGAACTTTATGGCTGAAATGATTTTGGAATCCAAAACAAAACACAATTGTATTTTTCCATAGGTACTAATACTCAAATGATACAGTTTTCAGAAAATATTACTAACTCCTACTCTTGTTTATTACTTGTTCTACTCTTCGTGGCTTATAATTCAGGGCATGTTAGCTATTTTATAATTTTAACAAAATTTATTATAAATCTTACCTCATTAAATTAGATAACATAATTGTCCACTGTTACTGAGCTAATCAATCACATCAAGGGAGAAAATTAAAGGATCTCAAAACCTAGCTTGGACTATTACTCTTCCTCCTCTACCTATTCAAACTCTAAACCAGCAGATCTTTGTTAGAATGATGCTTAATCTCCATGCTCATCTCCAACTGATGTGGAAGGCAAAACCCTACTTTTATTTAAGTTGAACAAAGGTGATACAAGTTGACATTTTCTCTTTTCTAAGTACTAACAACATATTTGCACACAACATTCCACATTGTGAGCTCCATTGTCATTTCATAGATCACATTATGAAAATATTTCTGTACTGAAAGTCACAACACAATTATAATATTGGGTGTCACCCATTTTGCCTTGACACACACTGTTACCTTGGAGCTAGTCAGCAAACAGGCGAATGATGTTTCAGGGACTGCACAAAACACGGAATGCTTCACCAATTTGCATGTCTACCTTGGGCAGGGACCATGCTAATCTTCTCTGCAGGGTTCCAATTTTAGTATATGTGCTGCAGAAGCAAACACGAAGCCCTACTTTTCTATGTGGATACTGATGAGTCATGGGCGAGGCTTGGCTCTGTTAAATCCAACTATTCTACTTCAGATTCAGAGAATTCTGTTGAATGGCTTTCTTGTTAGGTAGAATTTGAAAATAATTTTAAAATGTGACATACAGATGCAAGTGGCTTGGGAGGTTTTCAGTATTACGATGAACGGGTCACTTGCCAGGCCAACTGTGAGTTGGTGCCCACTACTCTGGGGAAGGACAATATGGGAACTTCTACTACCTAAGAAAAGGTGCTACATGGGGTAGACAGGGGCCTCAGGGTACAGATGTGGTAGCAAAGAAGTAAGGAAATTCTCATCTCTTCCCGACACTTTATTTGAACCTCTCTGACACTTTAGAACAATCCCAACTGCTATTTGCCACAGAAAAGACAAACAAAGGCTTCGAAGGGTAACTTACCATTACCTTTGAGGCCTTACTCAGAGGTCTAGGCTAAGTCTAGGATAACAGAGCTCCACAGAAGGATTTTTTTTTTTATTTCAGCATATTATGGGGATACAGATTTTAAGGTTTCAATAAATACCCATTCCTCCCCTCCCCCCACAAGTCTGAGTCTCCAGCATGACCATCCCCCAGATCGTGCACATCTCACTCATTATATATGTATATACCAGCCCCCCTCCCCCTCCCACGGCCCAATACCGTTTACTTAGTACCTATGTGTCCACTAGGTGCTGCTCATTAAACCAGCTTTGCTGGTGAGTATATGTGTGCTGTTATCATCTTGGATACTCACTTGTAGTATGGGTTCCAGCTCTAACAGGAAACCATAAATGCTAATCACTGTGTTCTAGGCGAAGTACCCATGGCTTTACTATCCACATGTTATTAATCCATCTTGGATGATGGGCACTTTGTCTGTTCACAGCTTGAATTATGAATTGTGCTGCCATAACATTCGAGTGCAGGTGTCTTTTGTAGAGTGATTGGATCTTTTTGGGTAGATGCCAATGGGATTGTGGATCAAATGGTAGTTCATGTATCCACTTAGGTATCTCATATGCTTTCCACAGGTGAACTCCTTAGTTTGCAGTCTCCACCCAGCAGTGTAGGAGTGTCCTCTCTCTCAATCCCACCAGCATTTATTGTTTGGAGACTTTTAAAGCCTTCTCATGGAGTTAGTGATATCTCATTGTGTTTATGCATTCCCTGATGTTAGAGATGTGAGATTTTCAATGTGTTGGCCATTCTTCTGCTTAGAAAGTTTCTGTCAAAGCCTTTGCCCACTTTGCATAGGGTATTTGATTTCTGCTATTTCATGAGTCGAGTATATTCTGTTACAGTCCCTTATCAGATGCGAAGGATGCAAAAATGTTTCCATTTGTAGGTTATGTTATTCATGGACTGTTTCTTTGGCTGTGCAGAAACTTATTTGATATGTCCCATTTATTATTTTGTTGCTGCTGTGATTTGCCTTTGGGGTTACGTCCTCATAAACTCTTTGCTAGGCCTGTCTAGGAGAGTGTTTCCAACATTTTTCTCTAGAATTCTAATATTTATACTTAGGTTAATCTGTTAATCAGCGTGAGTATTTTGTGAGAGGTGGAAAGGTGGTCCTGTTTAGCCTCTACAGGTGGCTATCCAGGTTTCCCAGACATTTATGAAAGGGATTCTTTCCCCAGCGTATGTTTTTGTCTGCTTGTCAAAGATTAGATGGCTATATGAGGGATGGTTTTATATCAGGATTCTCAATCTGTCCACGGTCAATTTCTATTTGTGCCAATACCTATGTTTTAATTACGCTACAGCTTTGTAGTATAGTTGATATCTGGCATCATTAATGCCCCATTTTGTCTTTTGTTGCTAGAATTGCTCTTGATTTCGGGTTTCTTTGGTTCTATACGAGCTAAATTACTTTTTATATCGTGAAGATGCGATGGATTTAAAAGGTATTGCATTTATTCTGTAGATCAGCTGGGGTAGTATAGACATAATGATGTAGTCTGCCATCACGGCATGGTATGGATTCCATCTGTTTACTCCTCGCTTATTTCCTTCCTCAGTTTTTGTAGGTCTCCCGTAGAGTTTTTTACGTCCTTGGTTAAGGGTAAATTTTTTTAAGTTCCCCTATACTTGATTCTTTGTTGTATGTGAAGGGAATTGAGTCTTTGATTGGTTCCATTTGATTTTGGTGGCATATATATGCTCTTTTCTGTGTTTGATTTTGTATCCTGGACTTTACTAAATCATTACAGGTCCAGGATTTTGGTTGAATCTTTGGGTTTCTAAATATAAATCAATCTCACAAACAGTGAAAGTTGATCTTTCTGCCCCCTATTTGGATTACCTTTAACCACTTTCTGCTGATGCTGTAGCCAGACTTCCAGCACTATGTTGAATAGAAGTGAGATAGAGCAGCCTTGTCTGGTTCCATCTAAGTGGGAAGCTTTCATTCCCATCAATATGAGTTGCGCTTGGGTCTGGCCATATATGGGCTGTATCATTTTATAGTTCCTTCTATGCTATTTTCTTATGGTTGTGTATCATGAAAGAGGTGATTTTCAAAAGCTTCTGCATCTATTGAAGAATCATGTCGTTCTTTGTTTTGCTTCTGTTGTAGTGGGAATTGCATTTATGATTGAGGCGATGTTGAACCGATCGTGCATCGTGGGTGAGGGCGCCACTGTGGTCAGAATGGATTATTTTGGTGATAAGTGTCTGGATGTTGGTTAGCAAGATTTGGCGAATTTTGTTGCATCTATATCATTAGGTATGGTCTGTAGTTTATTTTTGTTGCATCCTTTCCTGGTTGTGGTATCAGAGTATATTCGCTTCAGAAAGGTGTTGGGGGGAGGTTCTGTTATCCGATTTGGAACTAGTTCTGCAAGATAGTACTAGCTCTCTTGTAGGTGTGGGGAAATTCGGTGTGACATCTGGGCGAGACTTTTTTTTAGAATTTTAATTGCTGTTCTATTTCAACTCTTGAGATTCTGTCTGTTCGAGGGATCTATTCTTCGGCTGATTGAGCGTAGTGGAGGCTGTGTGTTCGTCTAGAAGGTTTGTCCATTTCGCTCCACAGTTCCGTTTGTGGTGCATAACGATTTTGTGAGGTAGGTTCATAGAAGTATAGGGTGTACTCGTGGACATTGGTGATATCACCTTTTGTTCCTATGGAGGTATTAGACGGTTATCTGTTCGGCTGTTCATTAGGCTGTACCGGAAGGCGTGGTGCAATTGTTTTTTTCAAAGAACCAATTGTTGTGTTTGTAATCCTGAATACTTCCTGTGAAGAGTGCTGGTGTGATCTGAGCTGGTGATTTCCTTTCGTCGGCTGTTGGGTTGTCTGCCGTTCGTTTTCCAGGCTGTTGTCGTTTGATTCAGATGTTTATTGGATCTGTGGTCTTTTGTATAGATTGTATGAGATAAACTTTCTCTCAGAGGCAGGTTATCTGGTCCCGAGGGTGG